CCCTGCGACTATGGTCCCAAGCCCACAGGATCAGCTACTCGGTCCCTCTGGGTAGCTGGCTGTGACCAAGTAATGACCATAACCTTGCCCCTTGTCAGCTCTACTATACACCTCATTACCAGGCTTTTTGATTACTGTAGCTGTATAGTATGTTTTAAAATCAGGAAATCTGAGTCCTCTTTGTTCTTTTCTTTCTTTCAACATTGCTTTAGCTATTTCGTGCTGCTTATTCCATATAAAGTTGAGGATTGGTGCAAAAAGGGCAGGGAGGTGGCATCTTCTGATCTCCTCTAACTTCACAAGAGGAAGACAGTCACCATCAGCCGCCCAAGGCTTACTCCTCCAAAGCCAGACATGCTGCCACCCTCTAGCCTTTTACCAATTCTGACACCAACCGTCCCTCTCCTGGCACTCACTACTTCTCTGCTGGGTTTGATAATTTGTTGCAGTGGCCACACAGAACTCATAGGCAAAACTCACAATTATGGGCTTTATTAGAGAAGTAACAGGCTGCAGTTCAGGTTCACGAATGCACTCAGGATACAGTTCTTCGATCAGGATGGTCTCCCCTCTGCTGTGTTCTCCTTAGGCACGCCTCTCAGGCCCTTGGGCTTTTGGCCTGGCCTCTGCCCTGCTTGGGCAAGTGTGTTACAAAGCTCTTTTAGCTCTGCAGATAGATACCCCTAGGTGTACCCCACTTGGTCAGCAAGTCTCCTGGCCAAGAGCACTCAGCTTTTTCGCTCCATGAGCTGGAGAGGTTGCCACTCAGTCTCCTGCCTCTTGGTTCCTCTGTGACCATCGCCCTCTGTCTGGACGTCTTTCTCTGCCATGTGTTTCACTCTGCCATGCATCTCTTTCTGCTGGGCGTCTCTGCCAAGGAGGTCCAATGCAGGAAGCTTGGCTCCAAGGATGCACTCGATTTCACCTCCAGCTCTTCTCCCTTGATGACAATGAGATCCCCCCTCTGCCTCTAGAAAGGCTCCTTTTAAGCCTGGCAACGTGACAAAGCTAACCAATCCCAACATCAGAGTTCTACACACTGTATTTACATGGTCCCACCCAGTAATCCAGTGGGAGTTACAAAGACTACAGCTAGAAAAGCCATACCAAGTAATTCACTGCACCTCAATTGTTTTTTCTATTTCTCTAAAGAAGGCTTTTGGAATTCTGATTGGGCTTGCATTAAATCTATAGGCTGCTTTGTGTAGTATTGACATTTTAACAATATTAAGTTTTCTAATCCATGAACATGGAACATTTTTCCATTTTTAAGTGATCTTTAATCTCTTTCAGCAGTGTTTTATAGTTTTCATTGTATAAGTCCTTCACATTCCCAGTTAGATTTATTCCTGGGTATTTTATTTGCTTAGGTGCTATTGTAGATGGAATTGTTTCCCTAATTGCCCTTTCAGATTTCTCATTGCTGATTTAGAGAAAGCCAGCTACTTTTTGTTTGTTGACGTTGGGTCCTACAACTTAACTGAAGTCCTCTGTTAGCTCTAGGAGTTTTCTGTGGGATTTTCTATATGTAGGAACATATCATCCACAAATGGAGATAATACTAGTTTTATTTTCCAATCTGGATTCTTTTTTATTTTGTTTTCTGGTCCTACTGCTCTGGCTAGGACTTCTAGTACAATATTGAATAGAAATGGTGAGTGGGCACCCTCGTCTTGTTCCCAATTTCAAAGAAAAAACTCTCAGTCTGTTTCCATTAAGTATAATGCTGGTTGTTGGCCTTTCATATGTGCTTTGAATCATGTTGAGGGATTGCCCTTCTATTCCAGTCTTCTTTAGGGTTTTCATTGAGTAACGGTGGTTGGATTTTATCTCATGCTTTTTCTGCATCCATAGAGATGATCATACGGTTCTTTTTTTCTGTTGGTGAGAGGTGTAATACATTGATTTATTTCCTAATGTGAACTAGCCCTGTATTCCTGGAATAAATCCCACTTGGTCATGGTATATGACTCTTTTAATATGCTGTTGGATTCTGTTGACTAGTATTTTGTTGAGATTTTTGCATCTGTTTATAAGAGATGTGGTTGTTGTTGTTGGGTGCTGTCGTGTCGTCCCTGACTCATAGCGACCCCTCCTTGGGTTTCCGAGGCAGTATCACTATGGAAGTAGATTGCCCAACCTTCCTTCCGAGGAGTGGCTGATGGGTTTGAACCACCAGCCTTCTGGTTAGCAGTCAGGTGCCTTAGGCACTATGCTATCAGAACTCCTATTTATAAGAGATACTAGCCTGTAATTTTCTTTTCCTGTGGTGTCTCTGTTTGCTTTGGGTATTAGGGTCATGTTTGCTTCATGGAATGAATTACGGAGTATTCCTTCTCTCTCTCTCTTTTGCAAGAGTTTAGACAGTATTTTCAGTTTTTCTCTAAATGTTTTGTAGAATTCCCCAGTGAAGCCATCTGGTCCAGGACTTTTTTTTGTTGGGATGTTTTTGATCACTGATTTGATCTTTTCACTTGTCCTAAGTCTGTTGAGATTTACCATTTCTTCTTGAGTCAGTTTGGGTAGGCTATGTGCTTCTAAGAATTTGTCCATTTCATCTAGGTTATCTAGTTTGTTGCTGTACAGTTGTTAATATTCAGTCATAATTCTCTTTATTTCTGTTTAGTTAGTTGTAATGTTTCCTCTTTTATTTTATTTTTGTTATTTTCATCTTTTCTTTGTCAGTATAGCTAAAGGTTTTTCACTTTTATAGATCTTTTCAATTTCAACTTTTGGTTTTATTATTTTTCTCTTTCAATTTTATTTGTTTTTGCTCTTTCTTTGTTACTTCTTTTCATTTGGTAGGTTTTGGCCTAGTTTGCTCTTCTTTTTCTTGTTCCTGGAGTTGCTGAGTCAGACGGTTAATTTGAGATCTTTTATATAGACATTTATTGTTGCAAGTTTCCCTCTGAGTACTGCCTTCCCATAAGTTTTGGTATGTTGTGCTTTCATTTTCATGTGACTGTAGAAAATTTGTGATTTTTTATTATTATTATTTTTAGTGGACACATTGGTAAATTAGTGTATTGTTTAATTTTTATATGTTTGTGTATTTTCCAGTTTTTTTTTTTTTTTTTTTGTTACTCAATTCTGCTTTACTCCATTGTGGTCAGAGAAGATACTTTGTATGATTTCAGTCTTTTCAAAGACTTATTTTGTAACCTAAAATGTGGTCTGTCCTGGAAAATGATCCATGTGCACTGGAGTAGAATGTATACTGTGCTGTTTTTGGGTGGAGTGTTCTATATATATCTGTTAAGTCTAGTTGGTTTATAGTATCATGCAGGCTTTCTGTTTCCTTAGTGAGCTTCTTTATAGATGTTCTGTTCAGTATTGAAAGTGGTATATTGAAGTCTCCAGCTATTATTATAGTACTATCTAGTTCTTCCTTCAATTGTATCAGTGTTTACTTTGTATATTTTGGTGGTATGATGTTGGGTGCATATGTATTTATGATTATTAAATGTTCTTGATTAATTGATCCTTTTATCACTGTATGATGTCCATCTTTATCTCTTTTACAGATTTTGTCTTAAAGTCTACTTTATCCAGTATTAAGATTGTGACGCCAGCTCTCTTTTGGTTGTTATTTGCATATAATATCTTTTTCCATCCTTTTACTTTCAATCTATTTGTGTCCCTGGGTTTGAAATGTATCTTGCAAACAGCCTGTAGTTAGATCATGTTTTTTTTAATCCATTCTGCTGTTCTCTGCTGTTTGATAGGAACGTTTAGTCCATTTCCATTATTTGGTTTGGTTTGATAGAGCCATTGGAAGGGCTTAAGCAGTGTGTTCTAATAAATAGGGAAGCACAGGGTGTGGGAAATGAAGAGAGATCCCTGACCCAGACTGGGAATGGGATGTATGTGCCTGTACGCACATTTGCATGTACAGGTGTGCGAGCATGTACACGTCTGTAGCTGGTGGCCGAGCTAGGACCTGTGACCAGAGCTCCTGTCCCTACTTCTTCTCCTTCCTGCAGGCTGTGGGTGAGCGTAGAGGATGCTCAGATGCACACTGTCACCATCTGGCTCACAGTACGCCCTGACATGACAGTGGCTTCTCTCAAGGACATGGTGAGTGAGGGGGCTGAAGGGAAACCCCAGGATGAAGCCTGCTCATTTTGTTCCCACCCCTCTGCACTCTGATGTTCCCTTCCCACCTACCTTCTCTTGGTGCCCCTGCTAGGTGTTCCTGGACTATGGCTTCCCACCAGCCCTGCAGAGGTGGGTGATTGGGCAGCGGCTGACAAGAGACCAGGAAACCCTGCACTCCCATGGGGTGCGGCGGGATGGCGACAGTGCTTACCTCTATCTGCTGTCAGCTTGCAACACCTCACTCAATCGCCAGGAACTGCAGCGGGAGCGGCAGTTACGGATGCTGGAAGGTGAAGTTTTGCTCCCGAGCCACACAGGACTTAGATCAGAGCCTACAGGCTGTCAGTCAGGGCCTCACGGAGAAGACTTTCTCCACAGTGAGGAAGAAAAGACATGAGACACCTTGGGAGGAGTCATTTCAGGAAACTGTTTTGAATACAGCTGGCATGGGAAAGTGGGGCTAAGTTCAGTCTTGGCTCTGGCAAGGTCAAGTTGTGTGACCTTGGTCAAGTCCCTTCCTGTTTCTGTGCCTCAGGTTTCTAACCTACAAATTGAGTATGTTGATAATAATGTTTATGTTTTTAACTTTATTTTGAAATATTTCATATTTACAGAAGAGTTGCAAAATTGTACAAAGAATTCCCATTTACCCTTCACCCAGATTCCCTAAATACTAACATTTTACTGTACTTTCTTCATCATCCTCTTTCTATATAAAATATTCTGAGAATAAATGATATGTCTGAGGTACCACTCTCCTGAATACTTCAGTGTGTATTCCCCCCCAAAAAAGTTTAATTCAAGAAATTAGCATCGATGCTAATCTATAAATCGTATTCCGTTTTACTTACTGTCTCACCAATGCCCTTAATAGCAAAAGATATGACATTCAACTCTGGTGTCTCTGGTCTCCTCCCCACATTTCCCTTGACTTCATGACATTAGCACTTTGGGGAGTACAGGTCAGGTTTTCTCTTTGTTTTTGTAGAATTTTGGAATAGCCTGGTATTTCCTTGGGAATGGATTCTGATTCAGTATTTTTGGCAGGAATACCTCCAAAGTGCCAGGGGATGTAACTCAGTGGTAGAGCACATGCTTTGGAGCTCTGGTGGCGTAGTGCCTAAGGCATCTGCCTGCTAATCAGAATAACTCCTCGGAAGGAAGACTGGGCAACCTAGTTCCGGAAACCCAAGAAGATGTTGTTATGAGTCAGATCCGACTTGTCGGCAGTGCGTTTGGTTATTTATTTATTTTTTTCACTACCTTTAAAGTGCCATTGTCCTGCTATGTGTGTCACTTCTGGAGGCACAGGAAGCTGATTTTGGGGCAGAATTTTTAAGCTCAGAGGACACAGAAGCATTCATACGTGGAGTAGAGATTCTGACCCTTAGGAACCAGGGTGCTCAGCAGGTAACTGAGCCCATCTGACAGGACGGAGAGGAGAGAAGGCAAGGAAGGTGGGGTCAGTGAGAGGTGTGGGACCCAGGGATGCAGGCCACATGGATCTATCACCCCCTTAACTTTCCTCTGCAGATCTGGGCTTTAAGGACCTCACGCTGCAGCCAAGGGGCCCCCTGGAGCCAGCTGCCCCCAAACCTGGGGCCTCCCAGGAGCCAGGGCGTGGGCAGCAGGAAGCCGCGCCCCCGCCGGTACGCTGTTTCTCCCCTCACCCACCCCGGCCCTCTTGCCAGCTCTGGCCCCCTTCCCTGCTCCATCCCTCACAGCCACTCTGCTCCCAGGTGGGCTGGCAATGCCCCGGCTGCACCTTCATCAATAAGCCCACGCGGCCGGGCTGTGAGATGTGCTGCCGGGCACGGCCTGAGGCCTACCAGGTTCCCGCTTCGTACCAACCAGACGAGGAGGAGCTTGCGCGCCTGGCCAGCGAGGAGGAGGGACTACGCCAGTACCAGCAGGTGGGTGCAGAGCTCCCTGGACAAACACTGGGAGACTGGACTGGGAGATGTAGGCCAGGAAGGGGGCACCTCACATGCCACTCCTCTTCTGTCACTTCCTTGCTCCCCGAAGACCACACCCCTGAGGATGACTCTCCACTGACTGCTACCCACTCTGCCCAGAGGTCATCCTGCCACTGACCAAGATGCCTGCAACAACACCTCTAGGGGTTATGTGCCCTACCCCCATGTGGGCTGTGGTTCCTGCTGGGCTTTGACACAAACACCCATTATGCAGACAGTGTTGCTGGACCCTGACACCCTGGTCTTGACCCTGACTACGCCCCAGCTCAGACCCTGCACCCACCACCCCTCATCCGCCTGTGACCTAGTTCCTATTCCACCAGGGCCATGATCTCATTCTGGACCCAGCCACTGTTGGCCCCACTTTCTGTCCTGCTCTTCTAGTAATTCTGCCCCCATTTGTGACATGTACACCAGTCACAACACACACACTAATTACACAAATTCCAGACCCTGAGTGTCCCCCATTCTAATCTCGTGCCCCCCACGCCCCACCTGTGTTCCTCTTGGACTCAGCTCTCGCCTGCCCCACCGTGGCCATGACTGCACTCCTGGTCCCATCTACAGCCCTTACCTCTCCACCTCCCCTTCTCACCTTGCTTCTCTCCTTAATTTTGACACTTTACTCTCAATCCTTGACCTGCATTGTCACCTCGACTTGGCTCTGCCCCTACCCCCTGGCCCCAGCCCCGACTGCCCCTGCCTGACTGGGTCCTGCCTCCCCTGTCTCAACCCAGGGCTGTAGCCCCAATCCCAGCCCGTCCCCTGCTTGGCTTCACAGTCTCCTGCCTGGCCCAGCTCAGTCTTCCCAGCCCAGGCACCCCACCTTGGGATCCCAAATTTCTCCCAGCTTTGGCCCCCCACTTCCTGGTCTGACCTAGCCCCCAGCCCCCAACCACATTCCTGGCGCTGCCCCTGGTCTCACTGGCCCCACGGCCCACCCCGTGTGCCCAGCGGAAGCAGCAGCAGCAGGAGGGGAACTACCTGCAGCACGTCCAGCTGGACCAGAGGAGCCTGGTGCTGAACACGGAGCCCACCGAGTGCCCCGTGTGCTACTCAGTGCTGGGGCCTGGCGAGGCCGTGGTGCTGCGGGAGTGTCTGCATGCCTTCTGCAGGTGCGGCCCCCAGTCCCACCCCCAGAACTGCAGCGTCTGTCCCAGCGCCCTTTAGCAAGGGCTAGAAGTGGGCGGGGCCCTGTGCGCCTGCTGCCCCGAGAAATCCACGAGGTAGGCTCTGTTCTGTTCTGCAGTTAGCAGAACGCAGAGTGCCAGGAGGCCACAAGCCCAGAGGCTCGCAGCTCCTAAGACCAGAAGCCTAGACGTAAACCCAGATGCTCTGGTTCCAGAGCCTGTACCTTTGACCACCACCCCAGCCCGCCCTGGCCATGCAGGGGCCTGTGTCCTGGCAGCCTGTGCTGACTCCCACCGCCTGGCTGGGGGGCATCCTGCCTCTCTCTGAGCCTTTGCTCGTGGTCCTTCTGTCCTGGGCTGTGAGCAGTACATGCTCCTCCGCCCAGCAGACATTGAGCAGCCCTGGGAGCAGGACCTGCTGGGCGCTGGAGATTCAGAGGCAACCAGAAAGGCCCAGGTCCTGCCTCCTGGAGACTGCATTCCAACGGGGAGGCCAGTGCTAATCAAGTAATGACTGGTATCGTTGTAAATTGCGTCAAATTCTAGGCCAGTAAAAGAAAAAGAAAAAACAACTCACTGCCGTGGAGTCAATTCGACTCATAGCGACCCCTCCTTGGGTTTCTGAGGCAGTGTCTCTACAGAACTGGGTTGCCCAGTCTTCCTTCTGAGGAGTGACTGGGGGGTTTGAACCGCCAGCCTTCTCAGTAGTCAGATGCCTTAGGCACTATGCCACCAGAGCTCCCAGGCCATAGTGGATTAGATAAAAACAGCAGGGGCCCTTCTCTGAGAGGGTGGTCAGGGAAGCCCCTGTGCCTGCGCCTTTGAGTGGACTCTGACTCATGGTGACCCCATGTATTACAAAGTAGAAAGCCCCATCTAAGCAGAGAGATGAACATGAAAGAGGGCGGGTGGAGCTCTGAGGTGGGCGTGGCCTGGCCATTTGAGGAGTGCTTGGAAGCCAGGTGAGCAGAGTAGAGGGATGGCAGGGAGGTGGTAGGAGACGAGAACAGGGGTGGGGATCACAGAGGGCCTGTCAGGCACAGTGAGGGATTCTACACTCCTCTGAGTGGATGGGAAGCCACTGGGGAGGGATGTGGCTGCTGTATTGAGAATAGACTTCAGGGGCAGAGGGGGTGCCGGCAGCCCAGTGAGGCCACTGCTGTTACTAAGTGAGGGATGGCGGCAGCCTGGGCCTGGGCAGTAGCAGTGGGGTGAAGAGATGTGGAGGCCTTGGTGATGGGTTGACAGGCAGGAAGCAGGGAGAGAAGCCCACCTGGTGGTGGCTGAGAAAGACCTGTGGGGTTAGGGATTGCCATGTGGTGGGCGAGCTTGGATGACTCTAACCCCCTATTCCAACTCTCTTCCCCAGGGAGTGCCTGCAGGGCACCATCCGCAACAGCCAGGAGGCAGAGGTCTCCTGCCCCTTCATTGACAACACCTACTCCTGCTCGGGCAAGCTGCTGGAGAGGGAGATTCGGGCGGTAAGGCCTCGGGGGGGCAGGATGTCCTGGCCCAGGGGATTGGGCCCGGAGCTGGCAGGCGGGGACTGACCGAGGAGCTGGGCTCAGGCAGCTGACACTTAGCAAGAACCTTCTCTGTGTGGGGTGCTGGGGGCCTGAGCAGTGACAGGAACTGTGGGAAGTAGGGAATAAAAGAAGCAGCCTATGAAGGAAGGGCAGTAAGAGCGGGGGACTTTGGAGTCACGCGGCCTGTGGTCTGACCTAAGTCAGATACTCGGCCTCTCTGCCTCAGTTTTCTCCTGTTGGTTTGGGTGAAAGTTAGAGTTGGTTTCTGTTTCAAGGGTTGTAAAGATTAGAGGAGAGCATTTTTGTAAAAAACTTAGACTAGTGCTGCGTGCGGTGTAAGCCATTGTATCAGCTGGGACTAAAAACCACTACACACTCAGTGGCTCCAAAAAATGGCCGTTTATTTGCTCATGATTCTGTGATCGGGCTTCTTGGGTTGGGCTTAGCTGGGTGGTTCTGCAATGGCTGGGATGACTGGGCCTCTCTCCACTTGGGTCTCATCACCAGCAGGCTGGCCAGGCCTGCTCACCTGAAGGTGCTGTGTGTTCCAAGAGCAGCAATAGGGAAGCCGGAGCTCAGGCACTTTCTCAGCCTCTGCTGCCTCACGCTTAGCGCTGTCCACCTTGCTGTTGGCCAAAGCAAGTCACATGCTCTAACCTAGATTCTGTGTGGAAGGGGACAGCCCCAGGTTGGGGAACGGCAGGCACGAACAGATGGAGCCATGACTGGCAGTCGACCACCGTGCTCGGTGTGTCTGCATGTGTGTGTTGGCTGCTGTCTCTGTTAGTGTTGTTATCGTGCTGGGGATCTTGGGCAAATCCTGTACTTTCGCTGGGCCTCCATTTCCCCATCTGTAAGGTGGACTGTTAGCTTTTTTTTTGTTAATTTTATTATGATTTGGGTAAAAGTTTACAGATAAATTCATATTCCATACAGCAGTTCATACACATTTTGTTTCATGACATTGACTGCAATTCCCCACAATGTAACAGGTCTTTTCCCTCTTTTTCCCCATAGTTACTGTTTCCCTGTGTCCTTCCCTCCCATGCACTCCTGCCCCGTGAGCTGTCTCCCTGTGCATACACTGCCCTTCTGTTCTCCACAATTGATCGGCTCCAAGGAGTGTATCTACATGATGTAAATGTTCACCCATATGCCTGTCCATTGTTTGGCTGGAAGCCACAGGAGTGAGTTGAATTCCAGACCTAAAGGGTGGCTAGGGGCCATAGTCTCAGGGGTCTCACCAGGCTCTATCAGACCAGCAAATCTGGTCTATTTTCATGTAAGGTGGACTGTTGATCTTGATTCATGATTTTTTAAAAATTTTGTTGTTGAGAATATACACAGCAAAACATACACCGGTTCAACTCCTTCTCCATGTACATTTCAGTGACATTGATTATATTCTTCAAGTTGTACCACCATTCTCATCTTGTGATTCATGATTTTTAAACTGCTGGCAGTTGGCCTTCCCAAAAGTGGGCATGGAGGCAGGGTTGGAGGTGGCTGAGGTCTAATAGGAGACCCCTCAGACACATGCACAAGACCCCCCATCTCTCCCCATCCCTTCTGCCTCCCTTGTGGCCCCTTGCTCCTCAGACTACCCACCAACTTTTCCTGGAGCTCCAGAGACTCTGAAAAGGGCTCTGTCTGAGGGGAGAAGGGGAGGCTCAAGGGGTAGGACTTAGGGGACGTCCACCCCTGTCGGCCCGAGCATTTTATCTGTCGTCTGTGGGACTTGTGAGAAGGGCAGCTCTGGAGGCTTAGAGACCTCTGTACTCCGGCCTGGAGAGGCCCTGAGAGACAGTCCTTGCGCGACCCCTGGCATCTGTACTCGGGCCTGGAGAGGCCCTGAGAGACAGTCCTTGTGCGACCCCTGGCATCCTGGGTTTTCCTGGTAGTCCACCTCTGCCGACGCTCTGCAGGGCCCACCTTTCCCTGGAAACGGGCCACTGACCCAAGCCTTAGAGAATGGCCAGCTGTGGCAGGGGGAGAGGCAGGCGTGGGCCAGCAGAGGAATGCAGGGAGGTTATTTTTACAAAGTACAGAGTAACCTACACAGAACCAGAGCATAAACCAAACCAAAACGCCCTGCCCCGCCGTCCCCGGAGATCCTCAGAACACCCTGGCCCACCGTCCCGGAGGTCCCCGGGACGCCCCGCCCCACCGTCCCCGGAAGTCCCCGGGACGCCCCGCCCCACCGTCGCGGGAGGTCCTCGGAACGCCCCGCCCCACCGTCCCCGGAGGTTCTCAGAACACCCTGCCCCACTGTCCCGGGAGATCCTCAGAACACCCTGCCCCACCGTCCTGGGAAATCCCCGGGACGCCCCACCCCACTGTCCCACGACATTCCCTGCTTGCATCTTCTCTTGTTTCCTTCATTGTCTCTGGGCAGACATGATTTTTTTTTCCTTTTAAATCACCTAAGGTATGCTTGGCACTAAATTAACTCATTGTAAGTATACAGTTGGATGTATTCTGACTAATGTGAATCACTGACCGTTACCCAATGTACATACAGAATTTAGGCAAGATTTTTTACCTCAGTGTGACCAGCATAGGTACAACAGATTTTGCTGCTTTGCTAAAAACTTTCTAAGTGATTATTACCAATGTATATGGCATAAAAGAAAACAAAAAACAAACCCATTGCCATAAAGTCGATTTTGACTCTTAGAGACCCCCCTTGGGTCTCTGAGGGGTTGTTGTTGTTGTTGTTATGTGCCGTCAAGTCAGCCCTGACTCATAGCGACCCCTCCTTGGGTTTCCGAGGCAGTATCACTACGGAAGTAGGATTGCCCAACCTTCCTTCCGAGGAGTGGCTGGTGGGTTTGAACCGCCAGCCGTTTGGGTATCTCTACTGAAATAGATTGCCCGGTCTTCCTTCCAAGGAGTGGATGGTGGGTTTGAACCGCCAGCCTTCTGGTTAGCAGGCAAATGCCTTAGGCACTAGGCCACCAGAGCTCCAGAAAAACTGGACGTGAGCAGCAACAGCTGCAAGCTGAGGATGGCATATACGGCTCATACCTGTTTATATTCTGCAAAAAGGCCTGGGGGCGCCGTCCTCTGACGTCCTCTGACTTCACAAAGGGGGGACAGGATCAGCAGCACCCCACGGCTTATTCCCATGAGGCCAGGCAGGCCACCACCCTCCAGCCTCTCTACCAACTCTGACATCAACCATCTTCCCACGGCACTCACTGCTTCTCTGCTGGGGTCAGTAATTCATTGCAGTGGCCACACAGAACTCAGACAATACTCAGAATTATGGAGCTTATTAGTGAAGTAACAGGTTCAGGAATGCTCAGGGTACAGTTCTTCGATCAGGACAGCCTCCCCTCGGCCATGCCCATGGGCACACCTCTCTTTGGCCCTTGGCCTCTCAGCCTGGCCTGTGCCCTGCCCGGGCAAGTGTTACAGAGCTCTTCCAGCTCTGCCAATAGGGGCACCCCACTCTTCCAGCAAGCCTCCTGCCCAAAGTCATTCAGCTTTCTCGTTCCATGGGCTGGCAAGCCCGCAGCTCTGTCTTGTGCCAGTCTTTCAGTTCCTGTGCTGGGCCTCTGCCGACCCTGCCAAGAAGGTCCAGCACAGGGGCCTCGGGCCCGAGGCCTTACTCCACTCCACCTCCAGCTTTCCTCTCTTGATGGCAGTGAGATTCCTTCTGCCTCTAGGAGGGCTCACTTTAAGCCTAGCAAGATGGCAAAACTAACCAATCCCCACATCCCACCCCCAAAGGGGTGCCATGTACCTTATTGCCATTACCATCGAGCTGTCCAGTCCCCTTGGTGGGCCACAGGCACCTTACATTTGCATAGTTGCAGCTAGTAATCTGGTGGGAGTCCCAAAGACCATGGGTGAAAGAGCCGTACCGGGTGACTCCCTGCACAGCATATTCCTTCTCATAACAGTTCCAGTTTCTCATTTTGTAACTGATGCTCCAAGGAACACTTGCATTGTACCTCTTCCTTCTTACGTGCTGTTTTTTCCAGACAGGCTTGTGGAAATGGACGGGCTTCCAAAGGGTCCCAAGCATTGCTTATTACTATTTTTGTCCATTATTTTTAGGTTATTAATTTTTTTTTTCCCCAACTCCCCATTCCCCCTTCCCCTGACCCGCTGGTAACAACTCATCTTCATTTGTCTTAATGGATTTACCTATTCTAGATATTCATGTAGGTGGGATTGTGGGATATTTGCCCTGTTATGTCTGACTTTTTCATTTAGCATACTCACTGCCGTCGACTCAGCTCTGACTCAGCGACCCCTCCTTGGGTTTCCGGCGTGGTATCTCTACAGAAGTAGATTGCTCAACCTTCCTTTCAAGGAGTGGCTGGTGGGTTTGAACTGCAGCCTTCTGGTTAGCAGTCAGATACCTTAGGCTCTATGCCACCAGAACTCCCATAGTGTTCTCATTGTTGATCCATGTGATGGCACATATCAGCGTATCATTTCTCTTTACAGCTCAGTACTATAGTCTTATGTACCACGTTTTGTGTTTCCATTCATCTCTTGGTGGACACTTGAGTTCTTTCCTCCTTTTGGCTATTGTGAATAATTCTGCAGTGAACATTGGTGTCCAAGTGTCTATTTGAGTCACTACTTTCACTTTTGGTTATATTCCTAGGAGTGGAATTGCTAGGTCATGTGGTATTTCTATTTAACTTTTTAAGAAACTGCCCAACTATTATCCACAGTGGCTATACCATTTTACATTCCCACAGGATTCCAATTTCTGCACATCCTCACTGGCACTTGTTATTTTCTGTTTTTGTATTTTTCTATCCTTGTGAGAGTGAAATGGTATCGCATTGTCGTTTGGATTTGCATTTCTGTAATGACTAATGTTGATGTTGAGTGTTCACTTTTTGCATAGTTATTACACATGGAGAAGGTTATGTGAAGAGCAGGCCTCGGGCTGGGTTGGGGTTTCTGAGTTGGGGCTTCCTAGAGGGTGTTTAGTGGTGAGTAGGGTCCTCTGTTGGGCTCTGAGCCCCGAGTGACGAGAGCGTGGTCTGTCGGCAGCTCCTGGCCCCCGAGGATTACCAGCGCTTTCTTGACCTCGGCATCTCCATCGCTGAGAACCGCAGTGCCCTGAGCTACCACTGCAAGACGCCTGACTGCAGAGGGTGGTGTTTCTTTGAGGATGACGTCAACGAGTTCACCTGTCCTGTGTGTTTCCATGTCAACTGCCTGGTTTGCAAGGTTAGGGGGCACCCACGCTGCCTGGTCACCCTGGTCCTGCCAGAGTGCACAGTTCTTCAGTGCTCGTTCTCCTGAGAGCAGAGCTGGGACACTGGCCTGGTGCTGGTGGTTTAGGGCTGTGTGTCGGTGAGAGAGCTGTCTCAGACCCCAAACTGAGTATAAGCCTGGCCTGAGCCCTGACTCCAGGCTGACTCCTGGCTGTGGATTGAGCCCAACCCTGGTCCTAGTCACAGACTACATCTCAGCCCCATACTGAGCCCCGACCACAGACCATGTCCCAGCGCCAGACTGAGCATTAACCCTGGCCCCACCCTGAGTCCTGATGCCGGGCCAAGCCCCAGCCCCCATCTCTTATTTGCTCTAGTCCTGATCACAGACCAAGCCTCAGCCCGTCCTGAGCTGAGCTCTGATCCTAACGCAGACTCAGCCTGCCTGATCCCTAGCCCAGGCTGGGCCCTGGCCCCCATCACTTCAGAGTTGACCAAGAGAGCCAGTAAGGAGCACACAGGCAGCCCAGAGCGCAGTCTCTGACGTGACTGAAACAGAACGGGGCTGGGGCGGGGCCTCCAGCCTTGGGGAGAGGTGGGGGAAGGGTTCGGGTGCCCATCAGTGCTTGAATACACAGGTGAATGTCACTGTCATGTGATGACCCTGCCTTCACTTCCCTGGCCCTCAAGTGCCGTCTTCTGTGAAATGGGTGTATGGTTTATAGACTGCGCGGCACTGACTATCTCGAGGCATTAGGTGCTTGTGTGGATACGTAGATGGCCGCTCTGCCCCTCCCCTCTCAGCTTCTTTACGCTTTGGGGAAGTGTCTCACCGAGCCTCATTCCCTGCAGGCCATCCATGAGCAGATGAACTGCAAGGAGTACCAGGACGACCTGGCCCTGCGGGCTCAGAACGACGTGGCCGCCCGGCAGACGACGGAGATGCTGAAGGTGAGGCAGGGCCAGGGGTTTGTGTTCTGGGGGTTGGGTCGGGGAGGGGCTGCTCAGAAGGTCCGTGGCTCGCACCTCCCTGGAGGCTCTGACGCCCCTTCTGGCTGTCACTCCCATCCGGCGCAGCTGGAACGTGGAGCAGCTGGGGGAACGTCTAGGTGGAAGGAGGGATAATGGAATGGAGGCTGGCTCAGGGACCTGTGAAGCAAAGCTTGAGAAGAGAGAGTTGACCACATTTCTGTAGGAGGAAGGGCAGGCCAGGCCGGGAGGCTGGGCCGCCCCGGTCAGTGCGTGCTTGGCCTGCCCTAGGTCATGCTGCAGCAGGGGGAGGCCATGCACTGCCCGCAGTGCCGGATCGTGGTGCAGAAGAAGGACGGCTGTGACTGGATCCGCTGCACCCTCTGCCACACCGAGATCTGCTGGGTCACCAAGGGCCCTCGCTGGGGCCCAAGGGTGAGTCGCCGGGAGCGCGTGGGAGAGTGTTCTTGGGAGCTTTGCCTTAGAGCTGTTGTTAGTCCGTCCCAGCTCATGGGACGCTGGGCGTGCAGACTGGAACGGCTCCGCTGGGCTGTTCAGAAGCGGAGTGCCAGGCCTGTCTGCCGAGGTGCTTCCAGGTGAGTTCCAGCTGCCAGTCTGTCTGCTTTTGGGCCACCTGGGCCTCCTTGGCCTAGAGGAGTTATGCCGTCGAGTCGATTCTGACTTATGGCGACCCTTGGGACAGAGTGGAAGTGCCCCACGGGGCTTCCTGGCTGGGATCTCTGTGGAGGCAGGCTGCCACATCTTTCTCCCGTGGAGTGGCTGGCTGGCAGGTTCAAAGTGATCTTTTCGTTAGAAGCTGAGCTGAACCATTGTGCCAGCAGGGGTCCTTTTTCCTAGAGTAGGAGTTGGAAAACGGTAACCCAGGGACCAAAGCCACCCTGCCACCCTGCCAGCAAGCTAAGAACATTTGTTTTTCACATTTTTAAACGGTTGAAAAATATTGAAAGAGTAGTATTTTGTGCTGGGGAAATAACATGAAATGGAAATTTCAGCGTCCAGGGTGAAAGGTTTTGGGCACACGGCTACGCTCATTCATTATGGTGCGTCTGCTGCTCTTGCCCCCACAGGCACACAGTGTGTGGCCAGCATAGCCTAAATTGATGGCCCTTTACAGAAAGCGTGCTGATTCCTGCCCTGGAGGACAGTGAGGTTCAGTCCGGAGTCAGAGCTGGTCCAGGTCCCTGGCTGAGGCACATACCAGTTGCTGCTCGCTCTCTGAGTCTTGTTTCTCCATCTGTAAAATGGGGATGAGAGCAGGCCTGTCTCAGGGTGTCAGAACCAAAGTCAGAAGTGTTAGCAGGGCGCCTGTCACGTGGTGAGCTTCCCTTAAATGGCAGCTGTCATTATGAGGGGTATTTCCCTGGAACTGGGGGCTCACTGTATGTACAGGTGGGTGCTAACAGATGGAGGCCCAGGAAGCCTCCCTCTCTCGCGCTGTGGCATGGTGACCCAGCCAGAATATGCAGAGGTTTGGCAGATCCCGTCCCTGCTCTGGGTCTAGGGGCGGGCAGCCTAAGACCATATAATTGGGGGTTCAGTGGGAGCCCAGAGGACACCTCGATGACTGTCTTTGCTAGGGAGTGAGGCTGCCTGAAGCGCCTGCAGGAGCAAAGGTCCCGAGTGGGAGAGTGGCTTGCTTTGGGGACGTGTTGGGGCAGCACAGGGGTGCTCTGTTTCTACCCCCTGACCTGTTTTCTTTTCCCCCATCCTCTAGGGCCCAGGAGACACGAGTGGGGGCTGCCGCTGCCGGGTGAATGGGATTCCTTGCCACCCCAGCTGTCAGAATTGCCACTGAGTTGGGGGTAGCCTTGTCGCCACACGACTCAGCCTGACATCTGCAGGCTGCTGTGGGGCAGAACTGGGAGTGGGACTTCGGCTATGATTTCTGGGCTTAGAGGTGCTCTGGGCTTGCCAGAGCTGGGGACCCTGTAGAAGCCAAGGCCCCTGAGCTACCCGGCGGTCTCCTTCCTCCACAGCTGCCCCAGTGCCTTTGCCCTTCCCCGAGGCTTATGGGCCGGACCTCACACCTCTTCTTTGTGGCTGCCAGCTCTGCCTGACCCCAGCCTTTGCCAGGTGGTGCCTCTGTGAGCCTCCTGCGTGGCTCTACACTCCTCCACCCTCGTCTGCTGCCCCCAGGAGCATTCAGCAGCCGCCTGCCTCCCCTTTTGGCTTTCTGGGGGTAACTCTCCTCTTCCTTTGCTGTTGAAGGCCCAAGGCCTCCCGGAGCTGCTGCTAATCCTGTGCGGAGCCAGGAGAAAGACCTGATTGGTTTAAAGCACAGCCCATCAGGGCCGGCGTCTGCATCACCCCCCTGCTGCCTGTGTAAGCTGATTAAAACGGTTTTGTAAGAAGCGGTGAGCATGGTGTCCTTAATGAGGTGAAATGGTCATAGGCTGGGACTGCACACAGGCAGGACCCCAAGTTCCCTGAGAATTGCTGCAGGAAGTTGGTATATTGGCCCCCTTCAGCAGAGTCCTTGAGTGGTGCGGTGAACAGACCTGGCTGCTGACCAACAGGTTGGAGGCTCAAGTCTGCCCAGAGGTGCCTCAGAAGAAAGGCCTGGTGAATCTGTTTCCAAAAAATCAGCCTTTGAGAACCCTGTGGGGTTCTTGCTCTGACACACGTGGGGTGCCGGGAGTCGGGGTCGGCTTAGCAGCGACTGCCTTTGGTTTTCAGTGGTACAGAGGTCTCATCCAGCCCACGAGTTTTGCACTGGACTCGGCACTCCTGTGCCCAACCCTGGGAAGGGGATGCTCTGTCAGCATTGGCCTGGACAGGTGGGGTTTGCAGCATGCCAAGAGTCTCTGAAGAGGGGGCCGCGGATCAATGTTGGCGTCACGGAGAGGGACAGGCCACGACAGTAGCTGTAGGCTGGCAGGAAAGGCTTGCTGCCCATTTTTGACCTTGGGGCATCCAGAGCCAGGGAACATGTATTTTAGGAATAAATTAAGCTTTTAACTGCTTATTTATTCAAGGTGAGGTTGTCCAACCTAATTTTAACATCTCTGGCAGGATAGCAAAATACTGGCCCAGTTGATGTGAGGACTCACTCTGCTGGTCAGGGCAATAAAGCAGGTTCTGAGATGCCCGCTGTGTGAATTTTCACTCTGCGTGCGACCCTTTCTGTTGACCTCTGACATTTTAAGGCCAACACATCTTCTGTGGCCTGTTGCAGACCAACATTACAACAGCCTGACGGCGTCTGTTCTGCTCTAGGCTGGGACACCAGACCCCAGAATATGTGGTTTTTAGGAGGGCCTGCTCTAGCCCCTGGGAGGGCATTGCCACCTGGCCTTGGATGCCAAGATGCTGAAGAGTTTATCCCGGGTGATGTGAGCACAGACCTGGAGAATGGGTGAATGGACAGTGCCTTCCAGCTCTGGCGGCATTGGCTCACGGAGCTGTTGAAGCTGGGAAAGGCCCATTGCCAGCCAGCCTCCCGGCCCCATGAGCGAGCAAGGGTCAGCAGAGTCCCTGGTTGGGAGAAAAGGGAACAAGGTGATGAGAGCTGGACTGTAGGAGCGGCTGGGACTCAGATCAGGGCAGACAGGCCCTCTTCTGCCAGGGCCTGTCTTGGCATCTCAGCCAGGGCACAAGAGACCAGCAGAGACCATTCTCGGTGCAGAGGGTGCAAACTGGTTGTGACTAATCTGCCTGATGTTTTAGGTGCCTTTTTTTTTTTTTTAAATCATGATAAATACGTAACAAGACATTTGCCATTTCAGCAGTTTTTACATTTTTAATGTTAATTGTGTCATTAATTACATTCATCTTCAATCATCATCACTATCTATTTCCCAATTTTTTATCACCTGTAACAGCAGCTGTGTCCCCTAAGCAATGGGTTGCCAGTCTTTTTACTTTGAGAGATGAATTACATTAAAATCTAGATGTCCAGCTTCTCTTGGGAAAGTAGAAGCTTGGTAATCCAGGGTCTTTGTTTCTATGTGGCAGGAATGCCCAAGTCACGCGGAGGCTGACCCGCTTCACGAGAGCATGCAGCCTCCAGTTTGTCACCCTCCAGTTTGTCACAGTCCTTGTTACCCCATTAGGCCTCACACAGAGGTTGCCTCAATGCCTTTTTTTTTTTTTTAATTGATTTGGGTGAAGATTTAGAGCAAATTCACTTTCCATACAGCAGTTCACATACACTTTGTCTCATGACATTGTCTACAATTTACCCCAATGCAACAGCTCCCCTTCCACTTCCTCCCAACAGTCACCTCTTCCTGTGTCCATCCCTCCATGCATTCCTGCCCCCTGAGCTGTCTCCCTGTGCATAAGCAGCCCTTCTTTCTCCCATGACTGTTCTCTCCAAGGAGTGTATCTACCTCAGGTAAATTGTTCAATTTATATGCCTGTCTTTTGCTTGGCTGGAAGCCACAGGTGGGGGTTCAATTCCAAACCTGACGGGCAACTAGGGGCCATAGTCTCGGTGGTTCCACCAGGCTCTATCGGACCAGCAAACCTCCGCCCCCTCCCCCTTTTTTTCTCCAAATGACTGAGTTTTGTCCACACTGTTCTCCTCTATCCAGGCTCTCCTACACAGATCCCCTTCCAAGTGGTTGACATTGATAGCCAGGCACCATCTAGTTCTGGTCTCATAGTTGTATAGGCTGCAGATTGGATGGTGTACTGCCTCAATGCCTTTGCTCTGTTCTTTCCTCATAAACATAAACAGAGAAATGAGAGATTTCTTTACCAATGGCTCTATGGGGAGGATGGAACAGTGGGCTGCAATGGCTGCATCTTTCCTCCTGTCTGTGACCTCTACACCAACCCAGGCAGCGCATTCGGATCTGCTGAAGCCAAATGGAAGGTCAGGACCAAGGCAGGGCTGCCCCTGGGCTCCCAGCATCCATCTCGGTCCTTCCCAGGTCAAGAAGTGAAGACCCTAAGTGAGCAGGCTGTGAAGTGCTCCCCCTTCAGGGTCAAGTGAAGGTGCCTTCACTTTCCAAAGTCAGAGCCCAGACTTTTGACAGCTCATTGCTACTCTCAATGGTGGATTTAAAAGCAACCTTCCCTGGATTTAGACTCAAACCACCCAGCTGAGGAAGCAGCAGGCCTCAACCTGTACCACACAGGAGCGGGCGAAGGCCAGGAGGAGTGGGTTCAGACAGAGCACAGCTGCTGTTGGTGTGGGGAGGACAAAGAAGGTGGGCCCTCAGCCTGTGCCAGGGTGCTAAGTGTCTTCAAGCATCTTAGACTGACAGAAAAGCTACTTGGTTAAAAAGCAGGAAATTGAAGGCAAGACCTGCTTTGCCTGCTCACAAAGGCTGCTGGGAAAATTCCAACCACATGCATGTCTGAAGAAAGGCGACCAGCAAGGAGGGGCCCTCAAGAGGATGGGAAAAAGGCAGCAGGGGCCCCCAGCAGGAGACAAGGATGGAGGCTGCTGTGGAATGGGCCAGAAGACAAAGCCAGAGCCCATCATCTTAGTTGAACTGAGCAAAAGTCCTGTCTTCAGTTATCTTATCTGAGATGAGCAACAGGGCCCAAGCACAGACAGGGTTGGCCTAGCACATTTGTTGATCAGTAAATTTTCACTGAAGTGGAATCAAAACACTTGCAGAGTTTCAGTCTGTAAAGTATTTTTATTAAATCTTCCACATGTAATGGAAACAATCCCTATCAGACTGTCCTGGAAAATGAGTCTGGGAGGCAGCGACTTGCCCAAGCTCACACAGCCGTAAGGGACAGCACTGGTCCTCAGGCTGACTTGTCAAGCCACTCAGAATCTCCCCCAACACAGCTTTGGCAATGGCCCGACCTCACCCCCTAAAGTGTCAGGAGTTTGAACTCCTTCACCCAGTACTTCTTGGCCTGGACTCGAAATGCCATCACTGCCACTGCCCACTAGATCTCTCTACAGACCCCCAACCCTGCTGCAGTTTGCTGCCCCTAAAACACCCACATTTTTTGTTTGGCTATTTTCCCCTCAGCCTTGCATACCCTTCCTTCAATTTTCCAGCTATCAAAATATTCCTAATATGCAAAACACAATCAGCTCCAATGAAAGTGCCTCTGACTCTCATCAAAACATACTGATCCTCTAGTGCAACTCTGGGAGCTCTGGTAGCATAGTGCCTAAGGCATTGACTGCTAACCAGAAGGCTGGCGGTTCAAAACCACCAGCCACTGCTCAGAAGGAAGATGGGGCAATCTACTTCAGTAGTGATACTGCCTCGGAAACCCAAGGAAGGGTCGCTATGAGTCAGGCCCAACTCGACGGCACATAACAGCAGTGCAACTCTGGTGTGAGCTCCCAGGGGCAGGGCAGTGTCTCGGCTAGTCCCGATCTCCACGACTAGCCAATGAGAAGGGCAGCATGAGCAGTCGGCCTGTGTCAGCTCAGCCTCAGGCTGCCTTCACACCTACTTCTGGACAGACACATTAACAAGCATCCAGGACTATCCAGGTATCGCCTATCTGCAGGTGGAGGCAACAGGCCTTCAGCACTGCTCTGGGCTCCCAGTACCCACAGATGGGCATGTTAAGAGGACGTTGGAAGAATCTGGCAAACAACTGTGTGGACAGAAAAGATGGGGTGGCAAAGTGGCAGTTACACCAGGCTCTGGTTAAGTTCCAGCACTGGATATGATCCTTCAGCGCTGAAGGTATTCAGGAATAGTGAGCAAGGGAGGAACAGTCAAAAGCCCTTCCCACTAGAATCACGTGCCACTGGAGCTGCTTAGCTGTGATTAGCACCCCGGCAGCGGGTGAAGTGCAGGCCATGTTGCTTGCAAGTCAAGGCCAACCAAGAGCCCACAGACCACAGCACAGTCTGGGGCCTGGGGTGGGAGGTGGGGGAGCGTTAAGGCCAGATGCCTAAGACCAGAGCCACTCCCCACAGGTGGTGGACGGGGATAAAACACAGAAGAAGTGATTAGTAACCACATCTGGCTGTTTATTTCATACAGGGCTCTGTACAAAATATTTACACATATTCTTTACAGAATAAGTAAACCACCTGAAGGTAAAGACAATGCTTTCTTCTTGGCAGGGGAGGATCCTGATGTCAGCAAAGCTATGAAACAGATGAACTTTCTTCAGAAATAAGCCATTTGCTTCCTGGGATCAAAAAAGATGTGGTCTTGGGACCCTCATCATGTGTTGTCTTTCTCTTCTCCATCAACTCCTCCTGTACTTAGAACCAGCGTGACTACCTGGCAGAAGATGTCACTGCCCATTTGTGAAGGTGACAAACTGCTGTGGGAGAAGACTGGGAACACTGCCCCATCACCACCTCTGGATCCTGGAAGAGCCTCCTCTGTCCTCATGAATCCACCACTTTTCCTCATTAATGCATCTCCATTGTGCTCACCCCAGGGAGGGCTCCAGCTATTGACAATGTCCCATCATTTTGAGTTTGTTTGGATCTTAAAGTGCTTCATGTACCTCAGCATGGACACCTCTGTGACTATGCTGGGCTCGGCCAGCTGCCCGGCATGCTAACTGCCCTCTATCCTGCACTGGGTGTGTGGTGGCCGTGGATGTCTGGGTAGGGATGAGAGCAATGAAGGGAGGGCGGTACTGGAGTGCTTCTGGCATGTTCACTTTAAGAAAACGCCTGCCAAGAGAGAACATGCCTCAGAGTGGCCAGGTAAACAGAAGTACATGGCTGCTTCATACAGTGCACTCCAATTCTTTAAAGCAGCAAAAGGCACTTGTTTCAAGCCAGAGTTAGTCTGAAGTAAACTTGGCTTCACTGACAGGAAAAGCTGTCCCAGAAGGACCAAGTGATACACTGTTCCCTAGGCCTGCTGAGCCCTCGGGGAGGCAGCGGCTGGCTGTTTTCGGCTCTCACCAAACTCTTCAGGACGCAGTACGTTCCCTTCTGGGTGCAAGTTTCTAATGACATTTCCAACCAGGCAGGAGAGACCAGTAGTTGAGGGGATAAGGCAGGAGAGACCAGTAGTTGAGGGGATAAATCAAACACAAGAGATGATGCCATGGTAGTGAGAGGATGCCTATTTGGGAACAGACAGGTGATTTCAGGAAAACAAAAAAGGAAGGAAAGGCAGTGAGGAAGTGACACTCTGGAAGGTTGGGGCTGTTGACATAACAGCAACTCCGGCTAAAGTGAAATGTTAAAAATAATTGATTAGAAACTCAGGGTCTTAGAAGTTCATCCTCCTGGTGAGAACTATTTGTCCTTGATAGAACTGTTATTTTAAAAGTGAGAATACTTCTCATGTTGGGTGTATATAATTCTAAAAATAGTATTAAAAATGTCTTTTTATAAGCAATGTCATGTGGCTTCTGGAATAGGGAGGAAAAAAGAAAAAGGGTGGGCAAAACCAGGCTAGGTCTAAGCCCTAAAAACTGCCACTCGTCCGCACTCGACTAGACATGCCCAAATCATCTCTAGGCAGAAAATAGGCAGGATCTAACTAGGAACCCAGTTCACGCCTGTCTCCCTGATTTCCAGCCAGCCGACAGAGCCACTCCAAAGAGGCCAATCTTGCTCTCAGGCTGGCGTCCTTTGCCCTCTCGCTTTCATTCCAGGGTCTGCCTTCTAACAGCAGCTCCCTCTGTCTTTGTCCGTATGATGCAGAGGACACAATGAGCTGCAAGCAGGCAGCCAGTGGGCCAGGTTGCTTACACTGGGCAGCCAGGAAGCTGTCACCAGGGCAGCCCACCCAGGCCTCGCCGGTTCAAAGGCAGCTGACAATCTATAAAAACCCATTTCCTCCAGCACAGGGGAGGCAGCCAAGGGCACACCCAGAGACCCACTGTGAGGGGTGTAAAAGTTCTGTGCCCAGGCCCCAGAGTGCCTTCAGTGTCAGGCAGGCTCTGTTACTGGCCTCTGAAGCAAAGGCAAACCATGAAGACAGGCAGGGGAGGGTGGCAGGAATAGAAAATTCATGACAGAACCCTTTTAATAAAGGAAATTCCACCCCCTCCCAATCTTTCCATGGAAGGGTGAGACCTTAATTTAACATAAAGGAAGCATCTTCTCTGGCTTTTAGGGAAACAGCTGCAGTTGGAATTTAGGGGCCCACTCCAGGGCACTTTTCACCACAGCCAGAGCAGCCGCTCCAAGCGCCACGGTCAGCCCCATCACTGCCAGTTTCACGAAGCGATTGGTCCTTGGTTTGGTCAGGACGTCTTTTGTTGGGTCTTCAGGCCGCAGAAGTCCCCGAAAGCGCTGCCGCAGCACCATGTCAGGCCTCTGCTGGGCGGATGCCAGCTCAAAGTCTTTGAAGGTAGAAGCTGCGGTTCTGCAGGGGAAGGACACAGAAGGGAGGGAATGGCATGAGCAAAAGAGGAGGAAGGAAAAGTCAACAGGCTCAGGGCAGAGCCAACCACTGCTCAGAAAGCCTATCTTAGTAAAGAGCAGGAAGTCTAAACTGGGAATGTGCTGGTATAAGCTTCGATCTTTGGACACACCCTGCCCTCTGCCAGACTCCCATCTCCGTCACTTCCGCTCATTTACAGACGTCCCCACACCCACTGTGCTCTGGCCCACGCACCTCTCGGCTTGCTGCTGCGCAGCTGCCTCCCGAGCAAGCTCGGACGGCGGAAACTGAACAAACAGGTCTCCCGCTCTGCTGATCAGCGTCTCGTAGGGCAGGTCCTGGGGGATCTGGGACAGCAGGTGGTGGACCGAGGCCATGTCGCAGTCACAGTCCAGGACTTCCTGCTCACGGTGTAACACAATCTGTGGAAAGCAAGGCTGTGCATCAGAGGCACAGACACACCAGGCCCTGGCCACACTGTTTCGCTCTCTTTAGAGATGAATTTAAAACGGTCACAGACAGGACTCACTCTAAATTTTTAGCCAACTCTTGTATCTATCTAGGAAGTAATTATGTGTACACTCTGAGTGCTTTTCTTTTCTTTTTT